GCCCCATCTGGACGCTAGCGGCCGCGAGCCCCACCATCTTCCACAGCATCGCGCCACGCGCCAGCACAGAAGCGCGAGGAGCAGTCGCAGCTTTCGAGAACCCAAAGTTCCCAGGCGGCCAGTTCGCCGCCGAGGGCCCACAAAAGGAGCCACACCAGCAGCATGCTGGGGGCCCAAACGGCTGCGGAGGTACGAGCAGGGGTGGCGGGGGGGAAACAAAAGCAACACACAAGCAGACGCCTACGGCAGAAACGGCAACTCCACCTGCAGACCTGGGCTCGGCACTGGCCAGCGTCGCAGCTCGAACAGGTCCAGGCTGCATTGCACCTCGTTCCGGGGAAGACCCTGCAGCCTCCTTGGGAGGGGCTTCCCCTCGGAGAGGCGACTCAACGCGTCTGCTTCGATGTTTTTATGGTGTTCCGCCAGTGGCGAGGGTCGAGGGCCTCAATCTGAAGCGTTTCGAGAAGGAGGCTGATCTCGGCGGCCAGGTGCATGGTTGCTGGAGTCTCCTTTGGAAGACAAGGCCGTGGCGATGGTCAGAGCCGACTGGTTGTCCCCCAGGCGCTTCCCGACGAACCTGGGTCCCCAAACCTTGAGTCCCACGAAGAGAGCCAGGAGCTCGAACGTGGTCATGGAGCTGGACTCGCCGATCCGGGCTCCTAGAAATTGTGCCACCTCTTTCGTGATAGTGGCCGCCCAGTAGCGGAGGGGGCGACCGTCAGTGGAGAGGAGGATTCCGCCCAACCCGGTGGTTGAGGCATCCGTGCGGAGCCAGTACACCGGGCGCAACCAGGCGTCCCACGCACGATGGATCCTCTGGACTCCCATCCGCTCTCCTCGCAGGAAGGCCCTTATCCACACGAGGGGCTTCAGAACCATGTTCTGGAAGACAGTGCCTTTCGGCCTGCGCCTCGCGGTGCCACTTTCCCCGCGCTGGTCGGCCGCCGTGGCTGCCGCCCACAGCATGGAGACGAAGGGTCGCAATCTCGGGGCGATGCCCGCGACCCAGGACAGCTCGCCCGCCAGGGATCTGATCCCCGGGGCGAGGCCCCGCGAGTTGAGGACGGTCTCCACGCGGTGGAGGAGCTTTAATGTCTTGGCTTTATCCAGGTGAATCCTGACTGTGTCCCCTTCGACAGAGAGGACCGAGCCTATCCAGGGGACCGACGGTCCCGCTGCCAACTTCTTGATTGCAAGCCTGGCGCCCACCACGGAAAACGCTACCATCATCATGAGCATGATGTGCGTCGCCTCGCGGGCGGTGCCCCGGACCGCTGCCAACGGGCCGTCCACGTAGCACTGAAGGCTTGTGCGGTCCCTTGCCATGCTTGCCGCAATGCTTGCCTGAATAAATCTCATGAGCCACGCCGCCACCCTGCCCCACAGGAGAGGTGCGGTGGCCAACCCGAAGGGAACGCCTTTGTATGCGTAGCACGTGCCGTCCTGTCCCCTGACTATCGTGTACGCTCGCTCTTCTTCTTTGACCTGTAGGTTGAGGAAGGCGTCGGCGATGTCGACCGTGATGAGGTAGACCTCTTCTCCAGGCTTGCGCCTCCGGAGGAGGTCCAGGATGCCCTCCACTGCGTCGCGGCCCCGTGGCAACACAATCCTCTCAGAGAACTTCGTGGCCAATCCGTTAACCCCGCTGCGGCGCATATCCACCACGAACCTAGTCTTCGTGGTGCCGTCCGGGCGTTCCTTGACGATTGTTGCGATCCGGGTGGTGACGGCGTCGGGCCACCGGGCAACGACGTCCTTCCATTCTCCTATTCTTTCAAGGTGGCCTTCCTGGACCAATCTCTGGAGCTCTTCCTCCGACTCCGTCGCGAATTCCTCAAACGAGCGGTAGTTCTCCCTGCCCTCGGGTGCCCCCCGGGCTTCGTAGTATTCCTGTGACGCACGTTGTGCCTCCGACAGCCCCGCCTCGGGGAACACGCCCCGGTTTGGGATAGCGTTCAAGATCCCCAAAGGGGCGCCGTCCCTGAACCAAGACGCAACATCTGTGTCCGGGTCTCCAGTCGCCTCCGTGATCGCTTCCATGAGGCCGTACCGCCAGCCCGTGGGTCCCACCACGCGGTCCAACCCGGGCTTCCCAACATGTCGCTAATTTTACGGGCGGCCCGGTCGCCAGCTTCCGTGAGTTTCTGCTGGAGGTCTTGGGCCACGTCCCCAGAACCCTCCTCAGTCACGACTCGGCCCATGAGCTCATCGAGCCCGGGCGTCGAGCTCACGACTTCACTTAAGATTCCGCGGACCTTGTCTCCCAAGTTCCTCCACTTTTCCGATTGGGCAACAGCTTGGGCGGGGTTCCTCATGCCCCCCAAGCACTTCCCATTCTCCCGCTCCCTTGCCTCCTTCTTTGAACCTTGTCAGTGTCCGCCCTCCTGATCCGTGGGGGGCTGCTCGGTAGCCGCCGGAGGTGACCCTTCCCCCATGACGGTTCTTACCCGGCTGCTTCTCACCACATTGTTTCCGTGTCTGCCGACTTTAACCAGCGCCTCGTGCGGGCCCGGGGTCGCTCTAGCCTGCCCCTCCGGGGGCAAACTCTTGCTTCGCAAAGTCCAGAGGGGTACTCGGCAGCCTCGCTGGTGAGCCACACCTCCTTGTCCAACTTCAAGGAGTGGACCTTACCCTTGAGGGCGGTGTGCCTATTTGCCTCGGGACATCGCCGCACCTTAACGCCGTATCGGCGATCCAGGGGGCTCTGCAGAGGAGGCCGGTGGGTTTCCTAAAGGGGCCCTCGTATGCACACTGATCCAGCACCACAAAGTTCACGTTCAGGGTTCTCGATGGAGAAGTCCTTTCCTAGCTCGAGCTGCAGCTCGGCTATCCCCACACACCGTTCGGCTAGGAGGTCCGCCTCCTTCTCCTCAGCCGTGGTGCCTGCCGGTCTCTCCTCGGTTCGGGTCTTCGTTCGCGACGCCCTCGAGTACGTGCGACAGGGAGGGGCCATGTGCACCCAGTCCACCGGCACCTCCCTCAGATCCTGAAGCAGCTGGGCGCACTCGTCGTCATCGCTGAGGTCCAGCGTCTTGTCGCCGACGATCTTGTCGGCCGGGTCCAACACTTCGACCCTCGTGCCCCCGGCCTCCTTGACCGCCTTCGACAAACCCGCGTACCCAGCCAACAGCTCGAGGAACCGGGCGAGGAACCGGGCCCTACCGTTCTCAACACTTGCCCGGGCCACGTCTGCCCCGCCTCCTGCCCCCTTCTCCTCCGCGGGCTCCGGAGGGAGGGCTTCGTCCGCTCAGTTGTCGGGAGCCCGCCCCTTCTTGGGGCAGCTGGAGTAGGGATGGCTCCCCAAACAGATCTGGCACACGTGGGAACGGCCCTGCGCGCACTTGCCGATGCCGAACGGGAAGCAGCTCTGGTTGCCCTGGCGGTCGGTGGTGTACCTCCCCTGCGCGTCCTTCCTAAGGGCCTTCCCTCCCCCCTTTCCGCCCTCCTTCCGCTTCGTGGGAGCGGGCGGTGGGGTGGTAGGTGGCGTCGGCTGCTCCTTCGCTGGCGTGCTTCGCCTCCTGCGCCTTTTGCGAGGGGTGCCAGTCGGTGCCGGAGGGGGAGGTACCCCGTCTCCGGTGCGGTCCGTGGCCTGCCCCGTTCCGCCAATCTGCCTCTTTGTGCCATTCCCCCTGGTGGCGAGGAAACGAAGGGCGGGATCACGAACGTGTTCGTCCCAATACGCCCTGTCCTGGCAGGCGTACCTAAACACGGCATCCCACGGCCTTGCTGTGTCGTAGTCGGGGGCAAGTCCTTGGGCGTGGCGTTCCTGAAGAAGGTGTTTGACCCTGGGGAAGTGTTCCGCCCTACATCGGTCCTCCGCTGTCACCAGCAGGTGCCATGTCTCGGAGTACCTCCCAGCCAGGTCCCTGAAAGTCTCCCGGTAGAGGTCCAGCGTGGACTGCGCGACGATTTGGACGTCCCCTCCCGTAGTGGGGTCCTGGCTCCTTAGCATCAGCAAGGTGTTCTCGAACACGTGCCAGGAGGTGAGCCAGGAGTCGAAATTGGGAGGGCCCGCCACCTCGACGGCTCTGAAAGTGCCATCGGGTTGCAGGACGTGATTAAGGAACTTGAGGGACCTGGAGAACCTCGACTGGAAATTTACGAAGAGAGCAAAGTCTGCATAGGGGGCCAGGGCCAGGTCGATGATTCTCACCTTCATGGCCGAAATCTGGTCCGGAGGGCCCTCCTTTGACCCTTTCCAGATTTCTGTAGAACTCGTCCACATCCATCTGGTCTAGCTTCGGCACCTCTCCGTCATCTCCCTGGTCGAGGACGATGCTCATTTTGACCTTCCTGGCCCCGTCTCCTGCTCCTCCTCCGACCCCGGCCGGGGCAGGGGGGGCGGCTACAGCCGGCCCTCCACCACCGCCCGCAGGTGCCACAGGGTCATAAGGATCTTGATCGAGCAGTCCCAACGATAGCCTCGCCGCCCTCCACATCAACCCAAGTTGCGTGGCTTCGAGGATCGTAAAATCCCGTACCGCGGTGGGATCAGCCGCGGTGGGAGAAGGCACGCGCGAGGCTCGGATAGAAGCTACGATCGCAATGGCGGGGATAGATCCCAACACCCAAAGCGAGGGTGCTCCACCAATGGAACGCTGCAAAACTCCCCAAGCCTCATCACTAACGCCTGCCAAATCCTTAGCCGCAGCCAGGGTAGTCACTGCGGCTATCTCGGCAGCGGTAAAGGGCCCCGTAGCAGGGGGCCCGAGCGCCCCACCACCAGGTGCACCTCCCCCTCCTGCCAACGCCATACAAGGCAACAAAGGAAGACAGCCGATCAGTGACTCCCGGTGGCGGGCTTGACCCAATAATGGCCACGGGAGTCAGCTGCTATCCCTAACCTCCAGGCACTGCAGCACGATTGTTATTTCTTACACGCGTGTAGTCCACAACAAACCCCAGGAGACCGCCAGGACATGGCCAAAAATGGTTTCTCCCCCCAGAAAGGACCATGGGCCATCTGCTTTTCCACCTAGCACCTTCATGGGGGAAACGGCCTTGAGGATGATCTTTTTCAGCACCCACCGCTGAAAGCGAGAAATCGGCCGCCGCGTTTGGAACCTCGGATCCATGTTCCCATTGGCCATCGGCGGCTGCCCAGACAATCAGGTCTATAGAGTTTAGGTTTCGAGGCTTCGGTTTGAAGTTTCGTCGATTTGTGCATTGGAATTTTGCGCTGATTCCCTCATGTTGCTTGGTTAACACACAAGCGACCTAATCTCCGCGCCTGTGACCCTATGAACTTTCGAAAGCCAAGGAAGTAAGGATCTGCTCGCAGCGCGTACGGATGCACAGCATTCGATGATACAAAGATAGTCTGAATTTTGGACACAACCCAGACAGCATGTCATGCTGCAACTAAGGCCAAGCGCCGCATTCACCTCGTGCAGTCGGGCCAGCGCCTGCGCCTGACATCGAACGTTGGCTGTGGAAACTTCATCGGGATTTCTGGAAGCCCGCAGGCGCATCACCAAGCAGCAATCATGTTCGCACTCGTGCTAGCCAGCGCCCCGTCTCTTCGCGACAGCCATCATAGCTGTCGACAAGTTGCACCCTTCAATTCACGACATGAACTGCATGAACTGGTCTGCAGATCCTCAACACTTCGCCATTGTGTTGCTCTTCGCCCGGTTACATCAACCGACCCTCCACAGCACCAACAGCCTCAACCCCGCCTACGCTGACATGTCTGGAAAGGAGTGCTTGCACAAATGCAATGTAGTGGTCTAGCTTCAGACTCATTGAACTTAGGGTCTAGATTCGAGGGTAAGTTTCGCATTTGGGTGACTGCGGTCGAGAAATTTCAACTGGATAAAGTCACGTTAACTACAACCCAAAACCCTAAGCCCTCATTCTTGAAGGGGCTAAGGCCGGAGCGCAAAAAGATCCCAAGGGATCTGTCACAAACAGGACTTCAATTCGAAGCCGGCGCGCCTCAAGCTCGCCACCCCAGGTGTGCGGTTGCCGCCTGTCACCTGTAGCTAAAGGTTTGGCTGGTAAGAGGTTCTGAAGTTTTCCGAAGCTTGGGAAGAACTGTTTCCGACAATCTTAGGTCTCGGCGAAAAATCTTCCGCAAGAGGTCTATACCTCCAAGATAATTCAGTAACTGTCAAAGGACCTGCGCAATTCACTTCATACTTCGGGGACCTGCTACTTCTCTTCCAGTTCAATCCGCTTGACTGAGGCTTTTTCTGAAACCAAGCCAACAGAGCACCTGCTCATGCACAAGAAATTAACATAAAGTCTTGTCCAGGCAAGTCACCATGAAAAGCAAAATCATAACTCCCCCACTGTTCAAAAGATAATTCCGTAAATCATTGTCTTTATTTGGGGGAGGGGGGAGGAGCAAATCCCATCCAACAACTCGGACGCCGCACTCGGCAGGCGCTGGATCCTGGCTGCTCTGCTGGTCAAGGCGGCTAAGCCTACAATGCCTTCGGGGTGCGCTGGTGGGGCTTGAAGCCTTGGGTGATCAATCGAGGCAGACTTCCAAGACGGCCAGCTGAGCCCAAAGATGAAACAAGACCAGGGCACAGATCGCAGGTGAACCGGATCAGGGAGTCGTGCGCCTGAAAGCGTCTGATTGTCTCAACATTTGCTGCAGCATTCCATTGAGCCGTGGTTTGATGGAGGCTGAAGCCGACCAGTACCCGCGGCCCGCTGCAGCCCACCTCGCGCAGCACCGAGGCTCTGTCCAGCGCGACCCGGAAGCGCCTCTTGGCTGCGTCGTCACGGGCGATCTCCTGATTGGGTGGCTTCAGGTCCGACGGTACGAATCCGTCTGCGGGTCGTTGGGCTAAGGATTTGAGCTTTGAAGCTCCAAACCAGCTTCACAAACGGTGTTCCCGTAACTGTGAGGAAACAGCTAGCTAGTCTTTGTAGTGGCTCGTGGGTCCCACTGAATGGTTGTCGCACACATTTCGGGCTCCGCAATACGCGAAGACCTTGACTCGGACAAAGTCGCCTGGAAGGCCCAATCGATCCAAATGCCGCACGTCCCCTCCTTGGTGTCAGGCTCAACTTCTACCATAGCTTTATGTGGTGTGTCTGTCTGAACTCGGCACAAGCCCTGCCCGCGGCTTCTGGTCCCTCAACCTCACCCAAGCCCAAAAGCCCCAAAGACCCGACAAGGCAAGCATCCAGCTCGTCGCACCGCTGGACAAGCGCCTCCAGACTTGTGGAGAAACCCAGGCTACATTCCCATCGTCGAAGAGTCCGTTTGAGACATAAGGGCAAAAGTAAGCGGCACACTGTGCTTGAAGTCGGTGGGATCTGGGCTACTCAAGAGCTTAAGTATTTACCTCGGCTCGCGCCTCAGGGTGGCGGTAGGCCACATGGCTTGCAAGCAACTTGCTCACATCTGCGTGGCACAGTGCGAAGGTGGACGACAGCTCCTGCTAATGATTGTGGTGACATCACTGACGGTCTGCGACAGGTCACGTCTTCCTAGAGTTGGAACAACCGTCCAAGCCAAATCTCTAACCAACTGAAGTCCGTGTCCTCTTGAAAGTCAGCATTGCACTCCAGCAGAAGGTGGACATGCTCGGAGTCCAGCGCCGTAGAGGCCAGGGAAAGCAGTTGAACCTCACGCGGCTGGCCTGTCCTCGGTTTATGGTCATAAAGCATAGATGGATGCAGCATCAGAAACACCACGGGCCCAGCTATTCTCTGCGAGCACGGTGCTCAGGTTTTTTGGACGACCGTGCCCGAAAGCTGAAAAGAATCCAATCCTAAGCCCGTTGCACTGAGATGAGCCCAGTGACAGAGGCGGCGCATCGGGGTGCCAGGCGTGTATGTTCACGTTCGCATCGCCGAAGCCGAGGAGGAGCCTCGGCTGTTCATGTACTCCACTGACTCCACTGACACTACTTTGTACTACTATGCATCGCTGCTGATGGGGGAGCCGGATCATGGCATTGTTGCTGCCCCAGACGGCGCTCCAAAGAGGATTGCCTCCGTTCGGGAAGTAGTTCAGAGTAATCTCGCGGTTGGCATCCGCCTTCCGCTCCAGCAAAGCTTCCTTAAGTGGCAAGAGACACCTTTCCAGTTGCCCTCGATTTTCATCATTTCCTGATCCAAGTCTTTCAATTACACATGTGCTGCCGGGCTTCCGCGAAGTCGAGTGCCCGGTTGCCGGCCAGGCAGAGCACCGGAAATTTGGCTATTGCCTTGTGCTTCCCGGTGGGGAAAAGGACATAACTCGAATTCACGTCAGCGTTGCCAGCCACCACTGCCTGGACGATGTGTTTCGACGACTGGTGCAGAGTCATCTGGTCGACGACGAACATGAGCAGCGGTCCGGTCAAGCTCCTGCTTCGGCCTCCGGAGCGATACATCACCGGCGTGTTCAGAGCCACCCGGTCCAATGGGACGCTGCCTTTCCGCAAAGCCCCAAGGGCTTGGTCCAAGGCCGCCACTCCATGCGAGGCTGCTGTCCAGACCACTGCTGCCAGTCGAAGGAACCCTTGCTGCTCTGACCCCCAAAACTGTCCAACTGTCTAAACCTAGCTACAACCGCTTTGCGTCCCGCGAGGACCGAGGTGCAGCTCGGGGCTTCGCTGCTTCTCCGTTTCTATGTAGGCGTCCGAGAGCTGCAAGGGCGGGAAGTGCTCCTCGAAGTCCAAGGGGCCCTCGGGGAAGAACGGAAGGTTGGAGCGATACATCGTTTCGAGCATCCCTCCAGGTGGGTCGCGGCATCATTGCACCATTCACGATCAGCTCAGACAGAATGGCCGGGGCCTTGGGCCCGTGCTTCCGCCAGAGGGATTCAGGACGTGTACGGCTTGCAAACGTTTGGCTGGTTGACGACAATGCTTTTCTTAGCAGCCTTGGCACCTCCAAATTCTCAGATTGGACAAGCCCGCCAGAAGCTGCTGTTGCCAGTGCTGTCGTGCCGACGTAACGTCAGCCCAGTCAGCATCGGATATGTGCGAGGTTGTCTGTCGAACAACTCTGCCAAATTCCACGTTGCACTCGACCGCGACGGACTTCACCAAAGGCCACGGGCTGTCGGAAACCAGACGGATGCTTAAGGAGATGCCGGACTCTTCACACAGCTTGTTTGGCCGGCTGGGGTACAGTACAGGGCAGTGGCAGTGGAATACCCACGGCGCAAAGCCTTTTTCTTGCTCACGGCGCTGGCGCGACTGGCGCTGGCAGCGCCAGCACCGGGCTTTGAACCAGCCCCAGAATCTCCAGCTGCTCTTGCACACGTTGATGCAGTTCGACTGGAAAGGTGGTACCCTCAAGCCAGCCAGGCAGTCCAGAAACGACCACCGGCGTCACAAGACGATACATCCCCGCCCTCTGTGGGAATGCGCCTGCACAGATGGCTAGATCTAGACGTGGGCACAATGTCACACTTGGCTCTGAAGCCCCTGTGAACCCGCAAGCCTGACAGTTCAACCCTCGACACGAAACCGATTGACCCAGCCTCAGCAACCAACCCAAAATCCTAAAGCCCTCCAAGACTGCGAACTCTGTCACACGGTATCGTGGCAGGCCCGACCCGCGCCTGAGCATGAGTGCATCTTGCATCGACTGCGAAAACTCCGACAGCTCCATGGCAAGACTCGGGAGTAGGTTCTTCCCGGGCCCTCCGACAGTTGGCTCCCCATTGCAGTGCCCTTTTAGGGGACCAGCGTCCGTGTGGAGCTGGGGAGGATTCAGATAACATGAAAGTTAAGGCAAGTTTGAGGTTTACCCCACGAGGTGGGCTTGAGTATCCAGCTGGTGCCTTCTTCGCAAAGGTACACGAAATAACATCACCTTATTGCCCAATTTTCCTCCATCAGGCTACTCATGCTTGTCGCCAGAGTGGTTGACTGATGTGGGCGGGGATAAGCAAAAGCTACACAAGCAGCGAGCCCGCATGCCAGGCTGTTCGAGCCACAACCAGCGCAGGGGTGCAACGGGGTTGGCGAGTTGGCGCCTGCTTTGGACGTCCAAGACTTGCTAGTAGAGGCTCTTGAGCACATTTCAAACTGTTTTGATCTCTGTTTTTGGCTGGAATGCCCCTTTAATTGAACTCGGAGTCATCGTCCGATTCATCCTCCCAGCCGTCCTTGCAAGGCAAATGTGCGCGTCAGTTGGCACTGTCGAAACAGGGTCTGGAGTCCTCGGAGCGGCCGCGTTCCTCCGCCCAGCAGACGCTTGTGAGGTATGCCAGGGGAACGGTCCTGCAGATGAGGCTGAAGAGACTGTATTGTGTTATCATATTAAAGCACAGTATAGCGACTAGAATACTATTGTATACATCTGATACAATATTGTATGGTATGACATGCATTCCAATTTGCCGCCAGCCTCGGCATCACTGAGCGGCCGATTCGCCGCTTCAGTGCCCTGCGAGAGGCGGCGGGCGGCAGTGCTCCGAACGGAGCGCAGAACCTCTCTCGAGTCTCGGGGCACTGACCATTGCGGACTCCGACTCCTCCCTCTCGAGGACGCCAGCTTCGCCTCGCAGAGAAGCTCCTGCGGAGTGAGCTTCAATTCGGGGGCGCTTTGCAGGCTTCTAGTTCCCGACTGTCTCAGGATCTCATCAAGAGGCTACAGCGTTTTGCACCAACAGTCTCCTTCTTCACAAAGGTGAGGAAGGAGACATCCTCGGGCTCGGCCTCCATTAGATAGAGGCTTAGAGTTTGGAGCTGAGTTTAAGGGCTTCGGTCTGGGGTTTAGGGCACACTCGTCAGAGCCAGCGCATGGATAAAGGCACATTGACGTCGAAATGCCAAGACCACGGCGGCGAGGAGATCTTTGAATCGGGCCATCTCGCATGCATCGACGCCGGCCCTTTGTGCCAGCGAGATCGCCTTAGCGGCGATTGCGAACCCAGCTCCACTGACAAGGCAAGCTTGCGTGCTCTTTTGTCAATATGCAACATGTGGCGGGTCGCCTCTTGCAAACGGGCTCTGTCACCAGCAGCCATTGCTTCTTGCAGCGCTGTCTTTGCGCGAGCCTTCCGCCCGGGCAACAGCTGCTTGTGAAATCCACGTTCACTGGGGGCCTTCTGCATCTCTTCCGCCAATAGCTTCCGTGCATGGCCGAGCTCCTCCTCCAGCCTTGCTCTCTCTCCATCCTTGGTGCGGGATGTCTGAAGCGCGAGCGTGGCCTGCAACTTGGCAACAGCACTAGGCGGCGCCAGGTGCTGGGCCTCGATGGCTTCTCTCAGGTGCTCCACATCGCGACCTGCAAATGGTTAAAGACTGTTAGCCTCAGAATGTGAATGGAGGAGAACACTGAGGCGACAGCCCCGCGTGGCTTCCCGTATGCGCTCTCTAGCTTCATTCCTTCGCTCCTGCGAATTGCCAGAAGTGATCCGTCTTCGCGTCAAGTCACTGAAGTCTTCGAACCTCCCGAGCCAGTGCTCTCCGTTCTCCCAAGCTTGCCTGCACATTTGCTGTCTCACCGCACGGAGCCGCTGCATTCACTAATTGCAGCGATAAGAAGACTGAAGCAGCACCTACTCAATTTTCAGGATCACGCCTCTGGCAGGTGTCCTTGCACACGTCCTTGGCACGTGCACATCTCACAGCAGGAGTAGTGGCGGCACCAGCGAGAGAAACGGCAGCCACTACGAAGATGGCAATGCCAACGACGACGAGGACACAAGGCGACGCCAACGACGACGAGGACGCCACCACAACCACAGTGGTAAGTCTCATGGCAAAAAACGGTCGCGTGCAAGAACCAGAAGCCGCCAGCGTGATAAGTCTCATAGCGCTCGAGGAAAAACGATCAACGGCAGCAAAAAGGTTACAGGCACCAGAACCATTGTGCACGCTGTAAGATTCACTCCAGCTAAGGCCACTGGTGTCTCTGCTTCTCCAATCCTGAACTCGGTCTCCGGCCACCAGAAGCGCCCGATTGGCCGGAGCCCGAGCCTCGCAGCTGGAGGCTTCTCGGGGCCGAGCTGCTGAGCATCACGAAGAGATGCCGGCCACAAACACTGGTGTGACTGCGGAGCTCATGCCGAGGACGCAGCCTGCCCCTACCCCCCATACAGGATCGCTGCCTATGAGCCGATGGAGTTGTGCGCAGGACAGACTAGCAAGCCTCCACTGCACGATTCTAGAAGCTGCAGGGGCCCTACGTTAGCCAGTTCCATGAGGAGAAACACATCGACCGAAGCAGCATCGACAGGAAACGCAGCAGTACGAATCCATCTTGATTGCAAGCAACCCGGCGACTAGCAGCAGTAAGAACTATGATGACTAGTATTGTGGAACCCGCCTCCACCCGGCAAAAGAACTGTGATGACAGCATCGAGTTGCTGTTATTTGCTCTTATAGAATGTACAGTACAAGATACAACACATAAAATGCAACATGGCAAGCAAGACCTCGGAAAAAGACTGGCGGCGCTGGGGCCGCTGTGAAAGCCTGCATCTGTGCGTTGTCCATCTGAGGGCTCAGCCCGCGAGGTGCGATGCTGTGGAGCTTGAGGACCCTCCTCCGGACTGCAGTCGCAAGCTACCTTCTAAAGGGCGCATCATCTGCCGCACGCACACTCCTGTAAAGGAGACGGCGCGAGTCGAGGCACCTCCTGCACGCAGCGGCTCATCAGCATCACTGCTTCCCAATATGCCAAATAAATCAAACGCTGCAAGTAATAATTACATGTTGTACATGTAACACATGGCACGAACTGCAGTGCGCAACATACTTTGTAAGTCATTTAAAACACGGAACACAGAGCAGATGATGCAACATGTAATACACCGTATGGACTGACGACTGTATTTTAGATGCTATAGAACCGGCAATATGCTAGAATATGTGTACCTGTTTTAGCCTCACGCCTGGCAGGACGAACCTACGATAATATGTGTACCATGGAATGCTTAACATAAAAATAGATGACACACATGCAATGTAGAACAGTAGCTTAAGTATAACTCCCAGTGCGAACAGACGAACTGCAACGCAAAACACCGCACACCACGACCACGTCAAGCATCTTACCAGCAGTGCCACGACCAGCACCACTTGCCAATTGCGACCACTACAAGCACGACCAGCGCTGCTGGTGAACTAGTAGCGATGGTGGGGTTACTCAAACTCTTTCGACCTTGCGTTGCCATTCCCTCTGCGAACGAATCCTTCGCATGCACTCATCTCACAGCCCCCAGACAGAAAAGTGCTGAGTTTGCGGCGCTCTTCAGTGGCTGTGGCCTCCGCAACCACGTCAGAGGAGAGCGCCAGGCCAGGATGTTACTAGTATTTTGCACTTTCACTGAGGTTCCCGGCTTGCAAGGTGCGCAAGCCTGTCGTGAATTCCCAGCAGGACACTCGGCCATCCCCTTTCAAATCAAAGGCCTGCACGCAGGCCACAGGCAGGCAGATGTTCTCTTTGTAGTCTTAACAAAGGCTGGGGCCCCAGCCTTGAAGAGGACCGCTGTGACTTCGGGAGTGGCATCGAAGCCCAGGGTAGCAACGGCGCACTGGCAGGTTCAAGCAAGCACCGTCCGGCCGACTCTGCATTTGCGGTCCGCGCTCTCTGAAGGCCTGGAACTCCTCTTCGTCGAGGCTGCCGCATCTCTTCAGGTCCCACTGGTTGAAGACGTTTCGCAGATCAATCTGCGGCAAAACGCTATCTCAACACTCGCAACGAAATCTCTTCGTCGGCCTTGTTTGCGAAAATGGCATCTGCAATTCCTGCTGCCGACCGCCGCAGGCGACTCTCGAAAGAGTTTGTCAGCTTGTCCTGCAATGATCTCAGCAAGCAGATGAAGTTCCGCTTCTGTCTTTGGAACGATCTGGTGCCGGCACGAGAAGAATGAAAGCGACATGTTGCCCGCACGCCCATTTTTCTGCCACTAGTGGGGGCTACAACGAAAGCTAATGCAGCACGCTTCTGGTAAGCACGCAAGCAACTTTGTACCCTTCGAAAACAACAGACTTAAACAACCCTGAAGCATACTAGTCTGATGCTCACGATGGGAAGTGGTGAATAACCAGGGTTTGCGGTAGCCCTTACACAGACCCCCAAACCCTAGATTCTACTGCTTTCGCTGCAACATCCTTAATTCTAACTTCTACATGTCTGAAGCCCGCACCCCATTCTGCGCCTCCAAACGCCCTGGAGAAGCCCGCGAGGCCTGCGCCTCCAGGTTCCCTAGACAAGAAGCCACCTAAGTTTTCAGGACAACGGCAGCTCTCTGAAGACAAACTCGCCCCAACTGCACGTTCGCAAGTTTTCGGGTTTCCGAGAACTCCCTTGGCAGAGGTGACCTAGCCAAGGGACCGAGTGTGGGTCGTTCTGCGGCAAGCTGTGTTGCTTCGCTTCAATATTTTGGGAGCTCGAACTTGTTGTGGTTTTCGGGTTGAGGCGCTTGCGACTACCGTTTAGTAGGCTCTTGGTGTGAGCTTCGGGGTTTAGCTTTAGCGCTGCAGCGATTGTTGTAGTCCATGATCCGCTTATACTTGGGTTCCAGGCGTGAACTTAGGTAGTTGCAGTCAGGATATACACGAGAAAAGCATGGCCCATGCGTCTGGCGAACCTGAAAACTCCCGACGGAGCCGGTACTTTAGACTTGCCTTTCAGAGAGTGTCGCAACCTACTCGTACTATAACATACTGTTTGTAGTATAGAGCCTACATTGATGCTACCAGAAAAAGCTTTGGTAGGTTGGGGTTTTGGGACTTTAGGAGTGTGGCGATAACTTACCCACGACCGGACTAATCGTCCGACCAACCGCTCGCCTGACCACAAGAGAAACTGCTAAGAAAAAGCACCAAGCGGCAAGAAAACAGACAAGAATGTAGCAAAAAACAATGCAGATGCAAGGGTACGGAGTCACGCATAAAAATGAACTGAAAGGAAAGCGAAAACAAGAAACAGGCAGCAGCAAGCAAAGAGCAAAAAGCAAACAGCAAGAAAGAAACGCAGAGAGGAGCAGTAAAGTGAAGCAACGAGAAATAGTACCGTAAGCACAAAACAGACACTGGAAGCATAAAGTAAAAGCGCAGAAGGAGCAAGAAGCCACCAAGAGCAGGGCAACGTTTGATTTCAACCAGACCATCAACAAAAAAAACCCTCACTCCGACATGCAAGAAACAAGCACCGCGTCGGTGCATAAAAACAAGGGACAACAGGTAACGCCAGCACAAGCTCGGATGCCACTAGCAAATAGTTAGCACGCTTGAACCCCACAGTCAGCCTTATAAGAATCCTCATACTAACCCTGCACTGCCTCTAAAATGACCCTATAGAAACCATATCCACCATATAATCGCACAAGGCGGAGCCTCAAGGAGTTCCAGCAAGCCCCTCTGCGGAGCCGCGATCTCAAGTCCGCGCAGAGCGAAGAGTGCTTGGGAAATCTCAAGTTGTGTTAACATGCGGCTACTGTTTAGGGCTTAGGGTTTGGTGTTATATTATATGAGAGGGTTAAAAGGACTCGCTAGGAGCTATTATAACTGGGGTGCAGCCGCGAAAAGGGACCGGCTCTTGTGCTGAACAGTTGCATCCGCATCGGGGAACGTCTCCAGTGCGCCTTCAATGGCCGGCAGGTCCTCGTTGGAAGGCTCAGCCAGCTTTCATCTCTCGTGGCTGCAGGACGTGGGTACGAGGCACTTGGGAACTAATTACCTTTACCGCACATGGTGCGCAAAGTCGGGAAGAAAAGAAGAAAATGCAAAGCAGCATGCCGTGATTTGACGTTTGAGTCCCCAGCAGACGAAGTCTGATCCGCTTGCCGCAGGGATGCCGGGGCCTTGCAGCGATCCAGCGCCACTTGTACTTGCGCAGCTGCTTCAGCTGCTTCAATCACAAAGTTCTTGCAGCAATTTGACTTCGCAGCAGACTCAACTCCGACTTGCATTGCGGTCGACGCCTTTCCATAGACCTCCCGCGGCATCACCATGGCTTTCTCAAAAGCCCGCTGGGATTCTTCCGCCTCCTTCAGAGCAAGGCTGCAGGACAACCGCACGAGGACCGAGCACGGAAGTCGAGACTTCGGAATCGAGGAAGACTGCGCTTTGAATCTCTCTACGGATGGCTCACTGACATCATAATTCACGCAGCTCAGCTCCAGAAGCATACCGAAATGCAAGCTGCAGATCACAAGCGTGTTCGTCATGTAGTTAAAGCGTCAAGCCCACAATATGATCACTGCCAATGCATCTCTCATCCTGCGCGCCTTTATGCTGGCGGCATCTCTCGTCTTGGATTCCGTCGTCTCCTTCTGAGCCTCGTAAGCCACGAAAGGCTCTCAAAAGCTGCAGTCTGACAGCAAGACGCTTCACCTCCTCGGCCGCACGACCGAGCTTCTGCACATCAAGGCGGAGTGCTGCTTCGTCCTGCTTGCTGGCAACGACCCTCACCAACATCACATCATGCGACTACACTTACCGCTTCAAACTGCTCCTTGGGAAGACAGCGGCTTCCAGTAACAGGCGGATAAACGGATGAGCGGAAAAAACAGCAGTCTCGCATCCTCGGTCCTCTGGGTCGTTGTCGTCGGGGGCTTCGGTGCTGATAAGACTTGGCCTTCTCTCTCGTGTCCTCAACTGTTCAACAGCTCCGGCACTTCCACGAAACAGATGGGCGCTCAGAAGGCAGGTGCTGAGAGCACGGCTCGTCCGACGGAGCTTCCTGGCACCTCGACAGCAGCGTGCTGCGAGATCTTGCAAGCACCCCGAGAGAACAAATGCGCTGTCGAAGGCACTGTGCAGTGCCGAGGGGTGTCGTGGAAGCGACAAAGCCGCCCTCAGGCCTGAGGAAGTGCGTCAGCAAGGCTCGAGGGCACGCATCAGCGCTGCAAGCAAGTTGCACATCGCGGCTGCTGTCGCCGCGCTCGTCCTGGCAGAGTGGCAGCTGCAACCACAGGGCAGCGGGGGTTGAAGGCGCGCCCTCCATCACAATGGGTTCCTCCGATCATGGTTTGGACAAGTTTGTAACGAAGTGGCGACTCCCCCGCGTCTCTCCACCGCATATCAGATGGGAACCTCAGTTAGCCTCGCGGGAGCTAGCTCTGGTGACTTCCACTGGTGGTCTCAGCTTCATGTCAATCAAACGCCGGGATCCAAAGGCTCGGATTCAACATGATTTAACGCACAGCTTCGTACAGGTTGCATTGAACACCAAACTAGGCTCTAGCAGGTGGGGATGATTCCTAGCCTCTTCCTGTAGGCTAGCTACGAAATCTGTCACAGAGTCGCATCTTCGCCCTCAATCCAGTTGCCTGCGATTCTAAGCATTGAAGTCATCTGCGGAAGGCAAAACTCAGGCTTCCCAGAGTCCAAGTCTTGAGGAAGTGCTGAGGAGAGGGGCCTTCGGCAAGACATCCCGACATGATCCCACTCTACAGTCCTCAGCAGCACATTGTTCTGCAGCCGGCGACTTCGCTTTGCAGGACCTGGGTTTGTGCTACTTGACCAGCATGTCAGGGCAGGGGGCTCAGGGAGGCGATCGCTTGCAGCCTGCAGACTCATGCTCCGAGAGCTTTCCCACAAACTCCTCAAGCTTCGAGATCCGGTTCTGGTCCGCATCGTGCTGCAAGCGGCAATGAAACATCCTGCACTATCCGGCAAGCAGAGATCGTGGCGCACTCGCTCTCTCCCTCATGCGCTCGCTAATCTTCAGGGTCTGGCTGCTGTTGCAGACCGTAGATCAGGTTCTCTTGCCTGGTCTGGTGACATCTGTCGAGATAGAGGTGATCTAGGCTCGGGGTTTGGGGTGAGTTTCAGGTTGACTCCGTGTCCGGACACAGCTCGCGTGCTTACAGTTCAACATCTGCTTCTGAAGCAATTGAACTTGGTTTTCACGTCTCGGCTCACGGCAGACAAAGCTGTTCATTGCTCTGCGCAAGCTGGTAGTGGACAGCATTCAGCCTCGGACCACTCAGACATCGTGGCGCTCTCGCTCCCTCCCTCACGCGCTCGCTGATCTTCAGGGTGTGGCTGCTGTTGCAGACCGAAGATCAGGTTCTGTTGCCTGGTCTGGCGACATCTGTCGAGGTAGAGGTGATCTAGGCTCAGGGTTTGGGGTGAGTTTCAGGTTGACTCCGTGTCCGGACACAGCTCGCATGCTTACAATTCAACATCTGCTTCTGAAGCGATTGAACCTGGTTTTCACGTCTCGGCTCACGGCAGACAAAGCTGTTCATTGCTCTGCGCAAGCTGGTAGTGGACAGCATTCAGCCTCGGACCACTGCTGCAATAGCAACATTAATGCGAAGCATGTCAAGGCTTCAGCCGTTTCAGCCTACTCCGAACAGAAGTTGTGGCAATGAAACCCATACGAGTAGGAGCACGGAAGCAGGGCTGAAACCTTTTACGGACTTTACTTTAGCGACTGGCACCCTGTGGAAGGCTTGAAGACGATGGCCTCTACAAGCCAACATCCGTCTTGCGGCAAGCGGCTCGTTCCAGAGCAGGCCGACTTGGACATCCTGCTGCAGGTACCACGCGGGGCCCTGGCAGGACTGGGAGTCGGCGCAACTAAGGCCCAGCTTGGGATGTACTCGCTGTGACGGCTGAGATCTGCAGCAGCCCGACACCGATGAAAAGTGCAAGCCTCGCTGGGCCCCTCTGGACTATCCATCATGGCTCGGTCGGACGAGCAGAGTTCTGAATGTCTTGCGTCTGCCTTCGAAAATCCACTGGTTCAATCAACCATGATTGAAAAAAAAACTGCCGACGAAGCATTGTTCCTTTCAGACGGACTGCAACTGCGATCGCTCAGAAGAGGTTCAACGCTGCGCCACAGACTTTTGCAACACTGCTACAAGAACAGGCTCTGCTATATGCCTCAGCCCGTAGCACTCTCAGTGCAGCTGCGTACGATTCGGTGTTTTCCTATCAGCAGGCAGTGCGCCAACAGTGCGGCTGAGCAGGATCTGGTCTTGAGTGATCATCTTGAGGACCTTGACACAAACGAAAGAGCTCATCGGACGGATCGCGCTGCTCTTGCAGTGAACCCTCTATTCTTCCACTCCCGGCCCAGGTCGTTCCTGCCGGTTCTAGGTTGCCACATGTCCATGTACGGGCTGCCTACGATGATGTCGCCCACGATCATCGATCTAGACGAGGCCGACATGGATTCGGAAGATGGGCCTGAACAGCAAAGCTGTTGATCCCTTTGCGCCGCGACGGAAGTTCGCACCACTGAGGTTGAGAACACTTCAATCGCCAAGAGGATCACGGAGAAGGCAAGGTGCAATCTCGGATGCAGAAATCCGACACTTACGCGTGCCGCTGCGCAAGGACGAGCGGACATGCCGAACGCGACAGCCAAGGAAGGCGCACCACCGCGATCTCGGCTTCCCACATGCCCTGTCCGGGCGGGAAAGCAAAAGAAGGAATGCAGAAGCAATCGCGGAAATCTCGAGAATGCTGAAGCAATCGAGCGCAACGCCAAACCTCAAAATTGCCGACGAAAGCCCAACAGACACCCAAAGCCACCTCGCGCCGCACAGTGATGAGCTGGGGCAGTGGCAGGCCAATCAGGCATAGGCCTGAGAAAGGCTCGCAGTCAGCATGCGATCGCGTCTGCGAAGAAGCAATGCCGGATGAAAAAGGCGGTCCAAAGTAATGCAGCGAGCGTACGGAGCATCGGCGAAGCTTGCTTTAAGTTCGTTCAGCTTGGCCGCCAGCAAATCAACATGAGAACGAACTCACGGTGATCAAGGAGACCTCCAGGTAAGTTTGCAAGACAGCACTATCCCAAGTAGGCTTGCAAGGCACGTAACAAGTTTCGTGCCAATTACCTTGTTCACCCAAGCACCGCAGGACGATCGCGCCGCGGCAGTAATGGTCGTATGGCCGTATCTTCCGTACTGCCAAGACCTCGGAAGCAGAAGGACAATCTGACTGGGTTTAGGGTTTAGGGTCTGCCCAACAGCTCAATGCCCACAGCAGTACCAACCCGGCGCCGGACTTATGAGCTCGGAATGGTCACCCTGCTCAGACACTTTGGAGTGCACTTGCTAGCTCTGGAGTTCCGACACTGCCCCAGACCTGCTCCAGGTCAATCCCGTCGACGTCCAGCAGGATATTTCAGGTCTTCTTTAGCTGACCCGGGTCTCCAAACGCGCAGTATCTGGAATGCAACATCGCGGGATGCCCACGAGCGGAACCAAGTGGATCCAAACAGGCCGAGCCACAACATCAACGTTAGCGTCCAGGGCGGTCAAGGGAGCCGGAGGCAATGCAGCCTTGAAATCGTAGCCGCAGTAGACAAAGTCTCCGTTCCTCGTTGAGTGATCATCCTCCGCCCCAAGACCATCTGATGCCACACACTTTTCTGAGGCAGCAACGCTTCTTCACCTTCGCCCTGCTCCTGGCCAGCAGGCACAGAATCTTCTGCAGGAGCCCAATTCGACTCAAGATCAGGCGATGCAGCAGCTCGTTCACCATGACATGTAACTTGCTTAACACGAAAAGGACGAAGCCTCATGAGCGGCAGCTGACTGGGAGCTCCCCAGAAACTTGCGCCAAGCATTATCAATATGAGTCCCGCGCAGAGAGCGGAAGGAAACTAGACAGTGCTGCAACAAAGACCTTGAAAAATGGCAAACTCGAACAACTCGCAGCTGCAAATGAAGTCCACACAGGAAGGGACGGCCCAGCAGTTACCTCAACAAGGGTCACCAAGAAACGACCAACCAGCAAACGTGCAACCTGCGTGCATCGCTCGGTGGCCAGCTGTTCGGCTGTGGCTCGGGGGTCGCTGCTTCCTGAGAGATGCTCCAAGCGGTTTAGGGTTTAGGGTGCGAGCACCACATCGGAGTGAGCACACCAGCCTCCTCATCAAAGATGGGCCGCATCATGATGGAGACAACTGGAGGATGCTGGAAGGCTTCTGCTGCGCTAGCTAGAGGTTCAGTCGTTTCAGTCAAACACTAGCGGTGTATGCATCGCATATCCATGCGGCAGTTTGCCACGAACACAATCGACGACTGCTCAGAACTCGCAAAGGCCCCTATTTTTACCGCAGTGCTGGGAGATTCCTTTCGCGTCCGGCTCGCAGGAACTGTTGTCAAGAGGTTCACGCTCCGGCGGAGGCGGACTCCGGCGACATGGTGAACAGGGCATTGCAGTTTCAGAAATTGGCGTGCTTGTTCAGCTCCAATCATCTCCTCTCCCCGGTCTCCCCGTACAGATCCTAGGATGAGCTCGCAGAGTGACGCTCCATTCTCTCACAGCTTTATGTGCGGCTCGGACAGCACGCCTGAAAGCAATCTTGCCAAGCCTTGCTTATCGGTCTTTTTGCAGCAAGCCCATCATCCCAAGCGTCGGACACTGACTGGCAAATCCCAGTCAACAACATGTGTGCTCGCATGCGGTGAATAGCACGCTTCTCATCCGGGGGTAATGCCCACCTGAGCTCTTCGATAAGTGGCCACACGAAACGATGCAGCGCCGCATCATTCTCGACGAAGACAGTGAGCGCCTTCCTCGCGTTGCCGCGGCAAACATCCCCGTTCCCGGGCTTGCAGGCTTCCACTAACTCCGCGATGCAGGCTTTGTTGAACCTTCCCAACAAGTGTGGTCCACATCTGGATAGTTCGCCACATATATCAGCACGGACGTCGTCGTCTGCATGCCGCAACCTGTGGATCATTTCCCCAGCCAACAGGTGTCGAATTGATTTAACTGCGGCGCCGTGGCCCCGAATCGAAAACAAGCAGCCGGCACAAACAGCCATGATGCGCTGGGCATTCCTTGCAATGTCCGGCTCTGGATGACAACAATGCGACTTCAGGTTCTCGGCGACGGGCAGCATGATGGCAGGTTCCAGCTTTCGCCACTTGTTCAAGGCCGGAAGAAGGCCCAAAGACCTATCAGCTGAGACGGGACATCAAAACGCGCAACTTGGCACACCGCCATGCCGGGCCTTCTTTGCCTGCTTTCAAGAGTAAGAGTCTGGAAAGTAGCCGCCTATCGGAAAAGGCATAGACCCCTATCGCATAGGGGTCTATCGGAAGAAGCATAGACCCCTATTCCCAGCGGCCTACCCACTAGGCCAGGAACCCCTATCGATAGGGGTTTATGGGGAATCGGATAGGTACCTATGGCCAGGGGTGTGTCACAGGTGGGATAGGGGTCTATACATAGGGGTCTATGGCTGGGGGATAGACCCCTATAAGGCGCATAGACCCCTTTCGTTTTGCGATAGGGGTCTATACACCCGCTCCTCCCTTTATAAGGGAGCGAGTGCAGGAAGCAATGAATCAAATGCATACGCACAAACAACTGCACAGCGCAACTCACAGGAACGGCTCGTTCTGCAGTCGGTCCGTCGGTCGCTACACGAGCACGCCGGTCTGTCACTCAGTCGGTCGGTCGGTTGATCCATGCACCGAGCGCCATGCAGACAGTCGATCGGGCAGTCGGTCAGTCGGTCCGCCACTTTTTGTGATATAGGAAGAGCCGGCATCACCAAATGAGGGGTGCTTAAGATATATGGTAAACTGGAATCGCCACATGACGGGGCGTGTTTCAGGTATGTGGCGGACCGTTGTCGCCAAATGTGGGGGCATGTTTGAGAAAGATGATGAACCGGCATCCAGTGAGGGGGCGTTTTTAAAATATACGACGACCGTTATCGCCAAACGAGGGGGCGTGTTTAAGATATATGATGAGCCGTTATCGCCAAATGAAGGGGCATGGTCAACAGATATGATGAACCGGAATCACCAAGTAAAGAGGCGGCGTGTGTAAGATAAATGGCGAACCGGAATCGCCACATGAGGGGCCGCATTTAGGGGCCGTGTTTAATATATGATGAACCGATATCATCAGCAAAACATGCGAATGTAGCGAGCGATAGTGTCCCTGCGCATTCACAGACAGCTGCGCAACGAGGTCATATGTCAAATCATTCGAAGGTTTTGTTCCGCGCTTGGACAGGGCAAAGAAGTAGGGTTTGTGGAAGAACCGCTCAAGGGTCATATGTCAAATCGTTCGAAGGTTCTGTTCCGCGCTTGGACAGTGCAAAGAAGTAGGGTTTGTGGAAGAACCGTTCAAGGGTTTGGGTATCAGGGTTCTGAACCCTGCTTCGGCAAACCCTACTTCCTTCACATTCCCGCATGCTCTGCTACTCCAGTGGCTGCATGGGATGGAGGCTCCTAGCTGCGAGAAAGCCGTGCACGAAAGCTAGTAGGTCGTGGCTACTGCACAAGTCAAAAGTGCTTCAAACAGGACAAGGAAAGGCATAGGGGCATATTGCTTGAGAGATAGGCCCTATCGCGATCGGGATAGGGGGCTATGGAAAATCGATAGGGGCCTATGCTGCATAGGGGGCTAGCCTAAGTAGAGATAGGGCCTATCTATAGGGGTCTGTACGAATTCGCGTAGGGGTCTATCAGTGGGGGCCTATCGGAAGATGCATAGGGTCTCTCTGTAGGGGTTTGTGGCCGCGGGCGGGGTCGGGCGCATAGGGGTCCATAGGAAAAGCATAGGGGTCTGTATAGGGGTCTATGGACGCCTATGGTAGGGGGCTACTTTCCAGACTCATCTTCGCTTTCAAGGTCGAACCTTTCCAGCCGAGGTCGTCCCAGAATCGATCGCTGCGGTTGGTTTCTCTGCACCACTCGCCGGCGGCGGCGAACACGTCCGGCCTCGAGCACGGCACGCACGGCATGTTTGGGCTCCCCGCCGGGAAATTACGGTAGGCACCTCTACAGGAGGTGCGCGATCAAAGCCTGACAGCACTCTCTGTAAGGCGGCCGCCAGCACCGTTCCCGTGGCCTTCTTGTGCAAAACGCTCCCAACGCTGCTGCCGGTGGCACGGAGCTGCGTGAAGCCCTGCACCTGTGACGGAAGTGACGAAGCCGTTGCACGGTTTGTTCGGGAACCCGCCTGGAGAGATGGCGACAGCCTCTGCAAAAGCCTGTTTTTTGTTAAATATGGTTGTGAGTACTTGTTTTGTGGCAAAAAAAGGCAACGGACACCCTTCTGGGCATCTGGCCCCGGGAACATCGTCAGCTGGAGGGCAGAGTGGCCTGCTTGCAGCAAGTGCTTCCGGCACTTTCCCCAGGTGGGCCAAGCCAAATTCGGGTTTCCTGCCTCGTCCGGGCATTTCTGCGCCGAAACCTCTGAGCCTGGGACGAGTCTATTGGACTGAATAACCTCATATTAATCTCTGTGTTTACATCAGAACACTATCAGAACATTGCAACCTCCTTTCTTGTATCCGGAGCTGATGCATCCTCGAGTCCACTTGAAGGTTCATGGGTACTTAAAACGCAATCACAGCTGTACATAGCTCTTATTACTTATGACCCACTGATAACCCTCTTGGGGGACTTAAGGGGGCTTACAACTGGGTTGTACGGTGAGGACTGGGTTGTCCGTGTGGCGCTAGATGGAGTTGGCAGAATGTTTGCCTCCTCTACGACCCGTTCCCCGGCCACTCTCCTGGATGGTAATGGTAATTGCATGCTCTGTACCCTCATCTCCGTTTCAAACCGAAGCATTCGCAGATCCCTGCAAGCATAAGAAAAAGTCGTCTTGTCCCAAGCAGACTGATGATTGAGAGCTAACTTCCAGGAATTCCAGATCAAGACACACTTGGATGTAAACGCTTCCACGTAGATAATTCGTCTCATGATGCTTCATGCTGAATTCAAGAGTATGTGAACCGTAGCACCGGGGCACCATATTATGGAGACTGGAGACCACGCCAAAGCATGTTTCGGGATACTGGGGCACCACTTCAAATCCAAGACAAGGGCACACGCGCATTTCGGTGCCAAGAAAGGCCAAGACAACGCAAATCTTAGCAATCCAAAGCGATTCGAAATGCGCCTCCGCCATGGGCGCATCAGCCGTCGTCAGACGGCTTACCTCCACACTTTACAGCAGCGCCACCCTCTCATTCTAGCTCTTCTCTGTTCTGGTAGTACGTAAAGCCTAGTGGCGTCCAAGCTCAATAAAAAAGGGGTTCGGAACAGGCGCTGTTCTTGTTGTTGGTGTGCTGCTGCTGGATTTTGTCATGCCCGGAATTCTCACATGCCACTTCCGACTTCAACTTGCTCCTGGTGGCAGGTCTGGCTCATGCCGCCCGAATTAACCCTGTTTGCATGAAGACAGAGCTGGCCAAACCCATACTTAGGACGTGGAAGTCATGGAAGCAAAATCCGCACTGAAAACCGATAACTGTGGAACTGGCTGCAAACTATTCGGCTGAGCTTCTGGTAAGAAGCAAGAAGTGTTTTGCAGCAGCCTCATTGCAGTGCGACTCTGTCGCTGAACAGCAGAGGCACAGTCTCATTGTTGCAAGGCGAGCGGCGCTGGCCCGACATTGCACCATTGTTTGGTACTTGACATCTTCTGAAGCGCGGACCTCATAGATTTGTCGATCCTGCGAGAAAAGGAAGCAATGGGATTGAAGGCCGCAAGCTGATTTATGCGCTTCGGCATGTAGGAGGCAGACGCGTGGCCGAGACCAAGGAAGACGTCTGGTATACGTCCTAGCTCCTGATGGCAACTTGTCGCATCATACCATGAGCTTTAACTTGTGATGTCAAACCTCTGAACCAGAGCGCGTCTCTTCGACGTCGAACAGATGCTAAGACGCTGTTCTTGAGCTTGCAACCACTTCCTAAGCACATGCAAACATGCCCAAATGTCCTGGTCAAAATGGCACCGCCATGTCGAACCTGGCGGCCTGAGCGAACAAAGCCCATTCACCAAGGCACACTGCGCAGTCCCAGTCAATTATACAGGAGCCAAAAGCTTTGTTGACACTCTTCAATCGCAGCTGCTCAAAACCTCTACTTCGAACAGGTTGATCAAGTGCACGCCTGGTCGGCTTTGGCGGAGTCCGGCACACAGATGGGCTGTGCGGCAGATCGGAGTCCTCAAAAGGCTCGAATATGGCGCTTCAACTTCCTAGACCAAGCCGCAGCCTCGGAATTGACAAAGGAATCCGGAAATATGTCCGCCTCATTTTGGCATTGACCGTACCCAGAGTCCTGCGAAAAAGCGCAGCGGTGTGGCCAGGACGCTGGCGGCAGTATAACTATTCTTCGTATATCAGCAGCGGTTCCAGCGAGAAGTCTTTGAAACCAGCACATCTCAAACACTCTCACAAGGCATACAAACACTTGAACCTGCAAGTGTTCGACGTGTTGATCCATGGCGGGAGCAGTGACGCATGCCCGTGTCATGCTGTTGCAGCGGTGGAGGGGGAGGGGGGGTTTGGAGGATGGCGCAGATTTGCAACAGAATCGCTATGCTGCTATTCCGGCCAAACCTCGCACCTTGCTTTTTGTGCAGTTGAGCAGACCTTCAGCTATACTGCCTCCTTCTCACATGGCGGCCATACCGGTATCCGAGAATGCGAGAACTCGTTGCGACCCGTGGAGGGCAGGGGGAGGGGCGGGCGTTGGCGGCAGGCCCATGCATGGTGTATCACAGAGCTGGTGCAAGATCTCCCCTTGTTAACGGGCCAAGACTGGTTCCAAAACTAAGAAGGAGTCCATTAGAGAGCCAACTAGTAACTAGGAGACTTAAGTATTACTTATTTGAGTCAATGCATCAATTGGAGACTGTGGAGGCTCAGACCTTCTTTCTCTTCGACCCACAGCCCCACCACTCCCACCACTCCCGCCAGATTCCGCCACTCCCGCCGCTCATTGGCTGCACACAGTGAAGAAGTGGCTAACACTGGGGCAGCAGCATGAACTCATGAATGTGTCCCTGGCAATGCCTGCATCGGGCCGTCTGTTTGGAAGCTCTCGAGTTCTAACGACGGCCTGGGCGTAAGAAGAGATGGGTAAAAGACACTGAAGCAAAGCCATTGAAGAGGGCCTGCTGGGCGATGCAAAGCAATCGCCCTGAAAGTACCATGCACTACACGGTGGCTGGCACATCTGACTTCGTGCAGTTGCAGCTTCGGGACATCCGGGGCCGCTGAGTCGGAAGATGGTGGGGTTGACCTGGGTGCCGCTGTCGAGGGAGTGCGGCAGCCATCCTGCAGACTTATCAAGATGGATAAGTATAATTCACAATGTTCACAATCAACTCCATTCTGGACCGCCTCAACCGCTTTGGCGCAACCTCGAAGCAGAGTCCTTGGCGCAGCAATGTGAAGCGAACGCAGACAAGAAAGAAAAACTGAAGTGTGGTTGTCACCCTGCCTTATTCTCAAGGTGCGCAGTTTGGCAGTTCAACAAAGGTCGTGTGCCAAGGCCACCGCTGCAGAACCTAGATCCGTTGATTAGGTCCTTCCACTGCGACGAATCCCTCCAACATGCGTACAAGCGTATAACGTATGTCTTGACCTATGGCGTACGTAGGCAAGGCACCCTCGCCCATTGGCAAGCAGCACAAAGAAAATCGGAAGCACCAGACTCACCTCCTTGGGCGGCCGGCTGCCGGTGGGACACTCACCGCTCTCCATTCTCATTTGCCACCAGCATTGAAACCGCTGCAGGCCTTCATGTGCGGTCAAGAGCACCTGCGGGACACCGGATCAGTTTTTCAGGACAGACCAGGGGCGATCGGATCTTATCAGGTCTAGGGTGTAGGGGCAGTCTCGCAGACGACATGACGTAATGAGGGCCACACAGGTGATTGCTTCGTTCCCGCTTCAGTTTCGTGGTGGCAGCTGCTCAACTCTAGCCTCAACCGCAAGCCCGAAAACAAGATTGCAACTTGCCGTCCAAGGGAACAGAGTGTCCTGGCACATGCCGTTCATGCACCGATGTTTTCAAAGAGAAGGAAACTTCAGGTCTCTGTGCGGAAACCGCACAATGGCAACCTCGAAAAAGGCCTCAACCCCACACACAGTAGAGCTTGGGACGCCCCAGCCCTGCACATGAACCTCCAAAGGCCGGTGCCGGATCTGAGCAGCGGAGCTTTCAGCCTGGAAGCTTCCCGGCTTGCAGTGACTCCCCGGCATGAGACCTTCAAACCCTCACATCATACAACACTTCGCGAGCAGATCGCGAGCCTTCTCCGTCATCTGGGACTGGGAAACCTCGCTGTCCTTCTTGGCAGATTCAGGATCACTCTCCTCACAGTCGAGATCACTGACAAATCACCATTGCATGGCTGAATAATTCATGTTACCGCACCTCAATGGTATGCTGACGCCGACCCGTCTTAGCATGGGCTTTATCAGGGCTTAAGAAGTTTACGGTTTAGGGACTTTGACAGCATGATGATCATTCAGCTTCCTACTTCGTCAAACCGAACCCAACCTCCAGCAGAAGGAAGGCCGCCTGCCATAAGCGTCACGTCAGGTGTTGAGTGAGGGTATCAAGCTCCGAAATTGGGGGGCGGCTCAAGGGCACGGACTACACAGGGGCGTTTCTCGTCATTGCAGGTGCTTCTTCGGTTGAAGGTCCCAGGATGTTAAATCAGTGTTCTGCGACGCATATCAGAGGGCACCTAGCTTTGACAAGTTCTACAAAATGTGCCAGGAAGACCGCCATTTGGCGTCTTTCAGCTGTCCGCTCCTCTTCATCACGTGCCTTCCAGAACACCTGCAGTTGTAGGACAGACCAGGGGCGATCGGATCTTATCAGGTCTAGGGTGTAGGGGCAGTCTCGCAGACGACATGACGTAATGAGGGCCACACGGGTGATTGCTTCGTTCCCGCTTCAGTTTCGTGGTGGCAGCTGCTCAACTCTAGCCTCAACCGCAAGCCCGAAAACAAGATTGCAACTTGCCGTCCAAGGGAACAGAGTGTCCTGGTACATGCCGTTCATGCACCGATGTTTTCAAATAGAAGGAAACTTCAGGTCTCTGTGCGGAAACCGCACAATGGCAACCTCGAAAAAGGCCTCAACCCCACACACAGTAGAGCTTGGGACGCCCCAGCCCTGCACATGAACCTCCAAAGGCCGGTGCCGGATCTGAGCAGCGGAGCTTTCAGCCTGGAAGCTTCCCGGCTTGCAGTGACTCCCCGGCATGAGACCTTCAAACCCTCACATCATACAACACTTCGAGAGCAGATCGCGAGCCTTCTCCGTCATCTGGGACCGGGAAACCTCGCTGTCCTTCTTGGCAGATTCAGGATCACTCTCCTCAGTCGAGATCACTGACAAATCACCATTACATGGCTGAATAATTCATGTTACCGCACCTCAATGGTATGCTGACGCCGACCCGTCTTAGCATGGGCTTTGTCAGGGCTTAAGAAGTTTACGGTTTAGGGACTTTGACAGCATGATGATCATTCAGCTTCCTACCTCGTCAAACCGAACCCAACCTCCAGCAGAAGGAAGGCCGCCTGCCATAAGCGTCACGTCAGGTGTTGAGTGAGGGTACCAAGCTCCGAAATTGGGGGGCGGCTCAAGGGCACGGACTACACAGGGGCGTTTCTCGTCATTGCAGGTGCTTCTTCGGTTGAAGGTCCCAGGATGTTAAATCAGTGTTCTGCGACGCATATCAGGGGGCACCTAGCTTTGACAAGTTCTACAAAATGTGCCAGGAAGACCGCCATTTGGCGTCTTTCAGCTGTCCGCTCCTCTTCATCACGTGCCTTCCAGAACACCTGCAGTTGTAGGACAGACCAGGGGCGATCGGATCTTATCAGGTCTAGGGTGTAAGGGCAGTCTCGCAGACGACATGACGTGATGAGGGCCATACAGGTGATTGCTTCGTTCCCGCTTCAGTTTCGTGATGGCAGCTGCTCAACTCTAGCCTCAACCGCAAGCCCGAAACCAAGATTGCAATCTGCCGTCCAAGGGAAGAGAGAGTCCGGAAGAGAGCGTCCTGTTGCAAACGGCTACACTTCTTGGCCACCATGCTGTTCATGCACCGATGTTTCAAATGGAGGTATTTTGCTCTCACATGTTGTTGCTTTTGCTCC